TTTTATAGACTGCTAAAGTTATTAATAAAGAAAACAAACTGAAAGATTCATTGGTAATGAAAATATTCATTGGTTGCAGCACTATAATCCAGCCTCATTGTGTTTTCTGTTAGAAACAGCTCATAAAGGCTTGATGTAGGAGCTGAATCTTACTCCATGTCTCCAAAAAGCCTGAGGCCGTTTTTTAAAAATAAAAATGAACGTTATTCAATAGATGATCGGACTGACATAGATATTTATGGCTGATTATTGTTTGCACAAACAGTCAGACTTATGTAACATATGAAGAAAGTACAGTACTTTAGTAAATGTACTTAGTTACATCCACCACTGTGAATAGTTAAAGCTTATTAAACTGTCTGGATAAAAAAAAATCTTGTTGGAGTTTTTATCTCGTTTTTAATCTGTTAGTTTGTCTGTCAACAGGAAATCTTTCATTCATCAAGTTTTTTATTTTAAATATGTAAAAATACAGATTTATTCAGTTTTCAAAACTAAAGCTAAAAAACTAGAAAAATAATCATGAAGAAGTATAATTTGATTTTCCTTTCAGCATCAAACACTGGGCACTGTTAGATTTTGGATTTCTGCCATAAATTAGCTTTAAAAAGCTAAAACTGATGTGGAGTGAGGTGTGTTTGGGTGTAACACCGAGCTACAGGATTTATAGGAACTCTTGTCTCGATAACGTGTGTTTATCCAGTAAATATGAATTCATCAAACAGGAAGTGGAGATATCTGAAGAGCCTTTTATAGAAGGACCTTGTTCTGGTTTCCTGTTGCTTTGTTTCACTGTCAGTCAGAGTTCATCACAAAATGTGACACCATAGAAAACATCTTTAACTATTTTTAGTTGATAGTTTGTCCTATAAAATAAATGTCATTTCAGAGTCTAATATAAAATCTAATTTTTTCAAACCAAATTAAAATTACCATTAAAATTACAATAATAATTTATTAAAATAATTTTTAGGAAGTTAAAACTACACTGTAAAAAAACTCATAAAAACTAATAATTATTAATAAACTACTTTACTTGAATATTTAAGTTTTGAAAAAAAATCTGTATTTCAAAAATTATTAAAACTCATCAACATGAAAAACGAAATAGTTATAATTATAATTATAATATGTAA